CGGCACAGCTGGGGGGCTGCGGGTCGGGAGTGAGGGGCACCAGCAGGCTCAGGGGGGCAGAGGCCCCATGCAGGAGGGGATGGGGGGCTCATTAACCCTTTGGCCTCCCCCAGACCTGGACTCCTCCACCGAGGACCCCATCTCACCCAAGCGGAAGATGCGGCGCCGCTCGAGCTGCAGCTCGGAGCCCAACACGCCCAAGAGCGCCAAGTGCGAGGGCGACATCTTCACCTTCGACAAGACGGGTGAGGCCTGGGGGCGGGGCCCAGCCAGGGGGCCAAGCTGGAATGATGGGATGGGGATGGGGCGGGGCCTGGAGGAAGGGGCGGGGCTCACACAGGGGCGGGGCCTGGAGGAAGGGGCGGAGCTCACACAGGGGCGGCGGAGGCGGAGTCTCACGGCCCCTCCCCCCAGGCGCGGAGGCGGAGGACGTGCTGGGGGAGTTGGAGTACGAGAAGGTCCCGTATTCGTCGCTGCGCCGGACCCTGGACCAGAGGCGGGCGCTGGTCATGCAGCTCTTCCAGGACCACGGCTTCTTCCCCTCGGGTCAGTGCCGCCGGGGCCGCTGCCAGCACGCCGCTAGGGGGCGCTGTGCCAGGGGCACCGGGGAGCGGGGCGAGGGGCTCCGTAGGGGGCACCGTGGGGCAGTGAGCGGGGTGAGGGGCTCCGTAGGGGGCACTGTGGGGCGGGGCGAGGGGCTCCGTAGGGGGTGCCATGGGGTACCTCTTGGTGTAATGTAGGGACAGTTGTGGGCTCCCCGGTGTGTTGAGTCCAGGAGTGGGGCAGGACCCCATGTCCCGCCTAGTCCCAGCCCCGGTGATTCTGTAGCCCAGCGTTGGGGGATGCAGGCGTCTCCTTCGTGTCCTGTCCCAAACTGCTGTGCGGCCACACCCTGTCCACCCCCGGCACCGGCAAGGGGTCCCCACGGAACCGCCCCCCCACCCCACAGGGGCCGTGTCCCGGCGCCGGCGAGGGGTCCCCACGGAACCGCCCCCCACCCCACAGGGGCCGCGTCCCCGCGCCGGCGAGGGGTCCCCACGGAACCGCCCCCCCACCCCCACAGGGGCCGCGTCCCGGCGCCGGCGAGGGGTCCCTGCGGAACCTCCCCCCCCCCCACAGGGGCCGCGTCCCCGCGCCGGCGAGGGGTCCCTGCGGAACCTCCCCCCCCCCCACA